TTCCTGGTGATACCAAAGGCTTTTTTGACCAAGTAGACTCGTTAGCTTGCCTGGAAAACAACAGGCAAGTGTTTCTGGAAATGTTTGTATTTTACATCATTCCATATCGGTTAAGAAATATGAACATTTGAACGCTTTTTCTTCTTTTAGATCATGCATTGAAGGTTCAACTTGAGTTGCTTTCAATTATTTTCACCAACAATCTGCGGCATCACACTATCACTTGCTTATTTATTTGTCTTTGACTCTGATTTCTTGTGTGTCGTAGGGTTTCTATCCCACTGATTTTATCACTTCCGGCTACCGTGCTTTCCCTGTCTAAGAAGGATCAGCTCAAGGTTGTTTAATAATCAACTTTTGCACATCATTGTAAATGAGTTGTTCTTTTCAACCCAATGTTCTGGCTATGAAGAATACGATGACACTTCTCATGTTCATCTTTTTCCTTCCTTGCCACGTTCTGGATGGTGATTTTGGGTTTATCAAGAATCTTATATGTTATTCTAGTCATTGTTAGTAAGCAGGCATTTAATGTCTTGACTGAACCTGACACTATTTCCCCGCATCCCAAATGATACAAAATTCTTAGCTTCTGGAATCCTAATTATACTTGGTTGGTAATGGTATCGAAGGAAATGACTGCAATTGCCTCTTTCTCCCAACCCCTTTCTATTATGTGAATTCATAGCTTCTGGAATTCAAGTATACATGGTCTACTAAAAGAAGGAAATAATTCCAAGCACCCTCCCCCCAATACCTTTAATTTTTATGTTTTTATTTTTGTGCATTGGTCGGCGTGTTATAGATCAGTGGCACATTACTTTTGATTGTTTTGGATGTAAGCCCAGAAGAAGAAAATAACAGAGAGATAGCAATCACTTATTCTATTGTGTCATTAGATTTTTCTTTATTAAATTTTTGTGTCAATTAGATATTTATGTCTGATAGTTAGTGTCTAGTACTGCCCAAGTTATTGTTTGTTTCTTTTTACAAGAAAATTCAATACTTTTGTTCTCTTTAGATATATAGTGGTGCATGTGAAGTTTTGTTATATTGGTTCTTATTTTAATTTATATTGTATTGTTTTGTTTTTATAAATTCAAACAGGTTAAAGTAAGTACCGTTCTTGGTTCAAATGGACCTCCTCTGACAGTGAAGCTGGTGCGAGCTTCCAGCTCTGGTTCAAAGGATAGTTCAGTAATTGAGAGTCAGGTTAGATTTTATTGTTCTCTTTTCTCTTGCTATTTCTTTCAGCTGTATTTTAGCCATTTTGTTGCAATAATTTGATATGGTGAATTACTTTGGGCTGTATGTGTTCCCATTTGTGTGATACAGGAGCTCAAGTTTGACAAAGAAAGTGCATCCCACTCTTTAGATTTGCCAAAGAGTGTTGATGTTGGAAGATACGCGTTTGTTTTTGAGGTAACCTTGTCTGTACATCTTTTTGTATTGAAATAATGTGCTTTAGGGCTTGTCCTCATCTGGTTTTGAATCCACGATTACTTAAACTAAAAGCTCTTTTTCAGGTGGTCCTTCATGACTCAGAGCATGAAAAAGTTTATGCTACGGGAGGCCAGACTCAAGTACCAGTTTTCATTACAGGAATTATCAAAGTAGACAACGCAGAAATTGTAGTACTTGATAGTGACCTCGGGAGTGTGGAATCCCAGAAAAAGTGAGTTTTTGTGTAATAAAACATTTTATTGGTTGTAATAGAATTTGGCACATTCCTACCTATAATTCTTCTGTACCTTTTGTCATGTCTTTTCTGCTATCTTTTTTTTAGTGGTTACATGAATAAGTTATAATAGTTTTTGTGCATTCGACATTGTGGAAATACTCAGACTCGATTTAGCTGGTGAAAATGTTGTCTCACTGTCAGCCAACCACCGTCAAAAACTGCGCCTATATTTTCAACTAACTACTCCCCTTGGGCAAGTTTTTAAGGCTCATCAGGTTTTTACTCCTAGCTGTCTGCTCTTGCATGAACATATTATTGTGTTTTACTGATCTGTTTAGCTGATTGAGACGTTGGTTTGGCTGCAGGCATTTCTTAAGTTGAGACATGAGAGCAAAGTTGAACATATATTTGTGGTCGGGAACTCTGGCAAGAAGTTTGAGATACTTCTAGTTAAGTTTCTTTGATATGATTCCTCCTTTTTATCTGTTTTTGGTAATCTTAAATAAAGCCTGCTGAAAGTTGGATAGAATACAGTAATGCCATTAACCTCATTAAGTCTAATATACTACAGGGCACTCAATTTCTAGGCCTTATGCTCTGTATTTTTAACCTCATGCAACGTTTATCACAAAAAGAAAGCAGTAACCTTTCGTTAGAGTATCTTGAATCTTGGATATTTGTGTCTAAATGGTTCCATGAATTGAGGGAAACAAAGCGGCTACCACAGATAACTAGTAGAGTTACTAGATTTGATTTCTTTTCGCTTGCCCTTTCTTCCGCACGCATAACTAGTGGAGTTACTAGATTTGATTCTTCTTTCTCAGACAAATAAAATATCTTCTGTTGTTGGTAAGCTAGCTTATGAACTTCATTAAATAGTGTTATGGACTATCATGGACTTGAGCTTTTGATTTTCTTTGCTTACCTCATATTTACCAATTTTCTTGTAGGATTTTCTTGGGCTGGTGGAGAAGTTTTACTATCTATCAGGTAGTTACGACATTCAGCTAACTGTTGGTGATGCTGTAATGGTAAGTATGTAGTTAGCTCGCTTATCAAACAAACAAATAAATAATCGGTTAGCCAAAGATGTCTAAATTGTGTTTTGCTTTTTAACACTGAGAAATTTTGTTGCGTTCTCTTCCAGGAAAACTCTTTCTTAAAGGCTATTGGGCAGATTGAATTGGATCTACCAGAAGCCCCTGAAAAGGCCCCACGTCCTCCTCTACAGCCTGTTGATCCCTACTCAAGATATGGGCCCAAAGCAGAGATTAGTCATATCTTCAGGGCTCCAGATAAGCGTCCACCAAAGGAGCTCTCCCTTGCTTTCTTGGGTCTTACCTTTGTGCCGCTGCTTGGATTTTTTATTGGGGTAAGTCTCTTATATGCGACCTTGGTCTATTTATGTTTGGCTTCAAAACTCACTCTCTTCTGCCAAAAGCATGTTAACTCAACGTTAGTCTAGATATTGTCCAGTTACCGATTGGATTGCTAGATAACCGGTATCATATCTGGAACTTCTTGTGGGTATGTAATCATGTATGGACAGGATTACTGTGATTGCCTGGGAGTTCTAGTAATTTGGTGTTCTTTCTAGTTCATAAAAGAATTTCAAAGAGATTCTAATGAACTTGGTTTCTCTTCCATTAAGGCATATGATCTACTTTTTTGTTTAATTAGCCCACCTAGCTTTAGATTTTTTCTATTCTTTTCAGATGCATTATTTTTTAACCTTACGCTATTTCTCTTTGGCAGTTATTACGTTTAGGGGTGAATTTTAAGAACTTCCCTTCTTCAGCAGTACCAACCACATTTGCTATTCTTTTCCATGTTGGCATCGCGGCTGTTCTATTGCTTTACGTGCTTTTCTGGTTGAAGGTACTCTATTTTCTCTGCTTTCAATTGTCTGTATCGGAACTCCCAACAAGCATGATCGGAATGTTCCGTTCAACCCAAGGAGACCCCTTCAAAGTAATTAGGTTCAGAAGAAAAATGGATGTTTTAAACAATGTGCAAAAATCATACAGAACTCCAAATCAGAGAAAAAGGATGTTTGACAGGGATCTTCATGCCAGTTCTTGTTTAACCTTGAGAAAGGAAATAGATCTCTAATTCCTATTGAGTTCTGAAAATCAGTACCTCAACTTTTCAAAAATAATCTGGCCCATATTTTGTTCCCCCTTCAAAATCCGTTTTACAAGTCCAAAAGTTCTGGGTTGTTTTTTTGTGTTTTTGGGAAAACTTGATGGTCTTTGGATGAACTCTTATAGGCATGATTTTCTAATAAGATATTAACTTTTGCAATGCAAACAGACAAGTCTCTTGAATTAGCCAGCTCATTGCAAATCAAGAATTCTGAAGTTAAAACTATGAGAACTAAACTGAAATGTAGCAGCAGGACACAGTTATAAATCTCTGTTGTCTTATATATATATATATATATATATATATATTTAAGTTGTGATTATTGTTCTTAGAAAGTGCTCGTGTAATTGACTTGGTTTTTTTTTTCATTACAGTTGGACCTATTTACGACACTGAAAGTGCTTGGTTTCTTGGGAGCTTTCTTGCTTTTTGTGGGGCACAGAATTCTTTCGCATCTAGCCTCTACATCAAACAAGTTGAAATCTGCTTGAGACATCAACAAAGTAATTCATCGTTTCTAGAGTAACAGCGGGGAATTTTTCATCCAATTTTGTAGGACTGTTATGTTATTTCTATCCGTTGAGAAATCTATTACACACAAAATAGAAACAAAGCTGTATCCGCTGCCTTGGATCTTTGCACATCTTGGGTAATAGAGATTTTAACATTGCGTAACTTAAAAGAAAAAAGTTTTAACTCACGTTTCTGGTTTCAACTTCTGTTTGAGCATAATATTTTTCTTTGGTACTGGCTTTTGTATTATTTGTTCCCTTTTCCTTTTCTTTTTTTTTTTTCTTGAAGAATTTTTTAGGTATAAAAAAAAGGACGAAAAAACTCTTTTAGTAATGCGTAGTTTTGAACTGCCATTTAAAGTCTTTAAGGTCTCGTTTATTTCACCTATAAGAATTTTGTTACAATAAAAAATTTGTAGAAATAGTTACATTTAATTTTTTTGTTACAGTAAAAAACTCACATAAAGTCACATCTTAACTCGAATTAAAAACTCAAATTAACGAATTAAATGGGTTTTAAATTATCACTATTTTTTTTTGTTTTTTCTGTTTTTGTTAAATCTGGTATAATCCATCTTTTGTTAAATTGCATAGAATTCTCGTATTTCTTTATGTACCTCCTTGCATATCTACGCACTTGTTCAAAACCCAGAAGAAAAAACAAAAGAAAATACTTAGTTTAAGGCGCTTTTTTTTTTTTTTGGGCTGCTATGGTTTAAAGCGTTAAAAGGGCTAAATATTAAGACGAAGTTGAGGGATTTGAAAGTGATTGTGGGCACTCAAAGAGATGGATAAATATGAACCAAAGCACTTTCATAGTTTCAATACCTTCTAGTAAGTTACGATTACCAAAGATCCGGTTGTATAACAAAGGAAAGCAGAACAAACAACGAGAAACAAAATGGATTGCCTCAAAATATAATAGGAGAACGAGGGACTCAAATGGATAGCTTATTTTTTAAAATTAGTAAATTATAACATAATTTAATATTTTAAGTATCCAATATTATTAAAAATCTAAAAATACCCTTAAACCTCCTTTTCTACCTCTCTCTTTCTTCTTAAACTTCTATTTTTTTAAAAATAAAAAATTATAGCATTTTTTTAAAAATAGGTAGATTATAGAATATTTTTATATAAAAGATAGATTATGATTTGTACCGGTGATCAGCAGCTAGCACCGCTGACCGTTTTTCCAGTGAATGTTTTTCGACGACTGTTTAACATTATATTTACTAGTAAAAATTATATTTATCTGAAAATTCATATACCATTTTGTTGGTCTCCGAATCGAATTCGGATGCGGAAGCGTGGTGCGGGGAAGAGCG